AGAGAGAATGAGGAGGTTCATTGAGGGACTTGCTTAGCCTATCAGATTGCAGATGGCTTAGGAGTCAGGGAGTGAGATTCCTTTCCAAGATGCAGCCAATGTGGCCAGACGATTTGAGATGGTTCTATCACAGGGGAGTGGTCAAGGGTCTGACAAGAGGCTACGTCACTCTGGTGGATTCAGTGGGGCCTCATCTGGAGGCCGGGGTATTTTTGGTAGGGGTCATCCTCCCAGGCCATTTTATTCAACACTTCAGACATCCCATGGAGCATCAGGGGGTCGTGGTCCTTATGTACCTCCTTTAGGGTAGCCAGCTTATAGTGCACCGCCAGCTCCTATTATAGCATCTCATCTTCAGAGTTATTATCACTGTCAGCCGGCTTATAGGACCTGTCCGAGATTGGTGGGTATTTGGCCACAGTAGTAAGGGTTCTCGTGCCATGATCCCAGCACTGCCCGCTTAGCCAGCTAGAGGTAGGGGTCAGAGAGCCAGAGGTAGGGGTCAGCCCACTAGAGGTGGAGGTCAGGCCGTTAGAGGTGGATGCCAGGCCGCTAGAGGTGGAGGCCAACCAACAGGAGGTCGTCCCAGGGATATGGTTCAGAGTGGTGGCGCCTAGCCCCGATGTTATGCTTTCCCAGCCAGGCCTGAGGCCGAGGCATCTGATGCTGTTATCATAGGTACTGCCTCGATTTGCAGTAGAGATACTTCAGTTCTATTTGATCCAGGGTCTACATACTCCTATGTGTCTTCTTATTTTGCTTCATATTTGGTTGTGCCTCGTGATTCTTTGAGTGCTCCCGTATATGTGTCCACACTGGTGGGGGATTCTATTATTGTAGATTGTGTATATCGCTCGTGAGTGGTTATTATTGGGAGTCTTGAGACTATTGTAGATCTCCTACTTCTCGATATGGTTGATTTCGATGTCATTTTGGGGATGAATAGGCTGTCACCTTATCATGCTATATTGGATTGTCACGCCAAGACCGTGACCTTAGAATTGTCGGGGTTGCCTCGATTGGAGTGAAGAGGGACTCCTGGTCATTCTACCAACAAGGTTATCTCTTATATGAAGGCTCGGCGATGGTCAAGAAGGGGTGTTTGGCTTATTTGGCTATGTTCGTGATTCTATGCAGAGGTTCCTTCCATGGATTCTATACCAGTTGTTCGGGAGTTCCCAGAGGTATTTCCTGCAGACCTACCAGGGATGCCACCCGACAGGGATATTGACTTTTGCATTGATTTGGCTCCAGACACTCAGCCCATTTCTATTCCTCCTTACCGTATGGCCCCGCCAGAGTTGAAAGAATTGAAGGAGCAGTTGCAAGATTTGCTCGATAAGGGCTTTGTTAGACCTAGTGTCTCGCCCTAGGGTGCACCGATATTGTTTGTAAAGAAGAAGGATGGGTCAATGAGGATGTGCATAAACTATCGACAGTTGAACAAAGTCACCATCAAGAAAAAATATCCATTGCCGAGGATTGATGACTTATTTGATCAGCTTGAAGGTGTTTTCAAAGATTGGTTTGAGGTTTGACTACTATCAGTTAAGGATTAGGGCATCCGATGTTCCTAAGACAGCTTTTCAGACTCGATATGGGCATTCTGAGTTCCTAGTGATGCCATTTGGTTTGACAAATGCCCCAGCAGCATTTATGGATTTGATGAACCGGGTGTTCAAGTCCTATCTGGATTCCTTTGTGATTGTTTTCATTAATGATATCTTGATCTACTCCCGCAGCCGAGAGGAACATGAGCAACATCTTTGGATCATTCTTCAGACTCTAAGAGATAGCCAGTTATATGTTAAGTTTTCGAAGTGTGAGTTTTGGTTGAGTTCAGTTGCTTTCTTGGGTCACGTTGTATTAGCAGAGGGTATTCAGGTGGATCCTAAGAAGGTTGAGGTAGTCAAGGACTGGCCTAGACCCACATCAGCTATAGAGATATAGAGTTTCTTGGGTTTGGCAGGTTTTTACCGATGATTTGTGAAGGGGTTTTCATTTATAGCAACCCTGATGACCAAGTTGACCCAGAAGGGTGCCCCGTTCAGATGGTTGGACGAGTGTGAGGTGAGCTTTTAGAAGCTCAAGACAGCTTTGACTACAGCGCCGGTGTTGGTGTTTCCCACAGGTTCAGGGTCCTATACAGTATATTATGACGCATCTCGTATTGGACTTGGTGCAGTATTGATGCAGGGTGGCAAGGTTATTGCATATGCTTTGCTGCAGTTGAAGATTCACGAGAAGAATTATCCAGTTCATGACTTGGAGCTAGCAGCCATTATTTACATGCTGAAGACTTGGAGGCATTATTTATATGGCGTGTTGTGTGAAGTGTTCACAGATCATAAGAGTTTGCAATATTTGATCAAGTAGAAGGAGCTCAATTTGAGGCAGAGAAGGTGGTTGGAGCTATTGAAAGACTATGATATCACCATCTTGTATCATCCTGGGAAGGCCAATGCGGTGGCCGATGCTTTGAGTAGGAAGTCAACTAGTATGGGCAACCTTGTGTATATTCCAGTCAGTGAGAGACTACTTGCATTAGATGTTTAGGCTTTGGTCAAAAAGGTCGTGAGGTTGGATGTTTCTGAGCCCAATCATGTTTTAGCTTGCACAGTTGCTCGATCTTCCTTGTTTGAGTGTATCAGGGAGAGGCAGTATGATGATCCTCATTTGTTTGTCCTTAGGGACACAGTGCGACACAGAGATGCCAGGCAAGTTACAGTTGGAGATGATGGATTTTTGAGGATGCAGGGTCGTGTTTGTGTGCCTAATGTGGATGTGCTTCGTGAGTTGATTCTAGAGGAGGCCCACAGTTCCCGGTATTCTATTCATCCGGGTACCGCTAATATGTATCAGGACTTGCGACAACATTATTGGTGGAGGAGGATGAAGAAGGATATTATTACATATGTAGCTCGGTGTTTGAATTGTCAGCAAGTAAAGTACGAGTATCGGAGACCTGGTAGTTTGCTTCAGAAGATTGAGATTCCTGAGTGGAAGTGGGAGCGTATCACTATGAATTTCATTGTTGGACTCCCACGGACTTAGAGGAAGTTTAATACAGTATGGGTTATTGTGGATAGGCTGACTAAGTCAGTGCATTTCATTCCTGTGGCAGTTTTCTATTCTTCAAAAAGGTTGATAGAGATCTATATCCATGAGATCGTTCGTCTTCATGGTGTGCCCGTGTCTATCATTTCTGATCGAGGTACGCAGTTTACCTCGTATTTCTGGTGGGAAGTACATCATGAGTTGGGTACGCAGGTCGAGTTGAGCATAACATTTCATCCTCAGACGGACGGACAATCCGAGCGTACTATTCAAATTTGGAGGATATGCTCCGCACCTGTGTTATTGACTTTGGAGGTTCTTGGGATCAGTTCTTGCCAATCGCAGAGTTTGCCTACAATAACAGTTATCAGTCGAGCAGATGGCTCCCTATGAGGTGTTGTATGGTAGATGGTATCGATCACCGGTTAGGTGGTTTGAGACGGGGGATGCTCGGTTATTGGGTACAGACTTAGTGCAGGATGCCTTAGATAAGGTTAAGATCATTCAGGAGAGACTTCGTACAGATCAGTCTAAGCAAAAGAGTTATGCCGACCGCAAGGTTCGTGACATGGAATTCATAGTCGGAGAGAGGGTGTTGCTTCGGGTGTCACTCATGAAGGGTGTGATGCAGTTTGGGAAGAAGGGCAAGTTAAGCCCTAGGTTCATTGGGCCTTTTGAGATTCTTCGGAGAGTGGGTGAGGTGGCTTACGAGCTCGCATTGCCACCCAGTTTATCAATAGTGCATTCAGTGTTTCATGTGTCCATGCTTCGGAAGTATCACGGTGATCCATCCCACGTGTTAGATTTCAGCACTGTCCATTTGGACAAGGATTTGACCTACGAGGAGGAGTCGGTAGTCATTCTAGACCAGCAGGTTCGTCAGTTGAGATCAAAGAGTTACTCTTCGATTCGTGTGCAGTAGAGAGGTCAGCCTGTTAAGGCAACTACCTGGGAGTCCGAGTCCGATATGCAGTAGATATCCCCATCTTTTCACCGACTTAGGCACTTTTCTATGTTCGTTCGAGGACGAACGATTGTTTAGAAGTGGAGAATATGATGACCCAAAGGGTCATCTTCTGTTTTAGAACTCAATTCCGTGCTACGAGATCTTCAAAACCTCATTTTATCTCTCCTCGTGCATAGTCCGGGCATGATTCCAAAAAACTTTTATTTGGAAAATTTATGAAATAACAATTTTTGGCCTAAAAAGTTGATTTTTGTTGACTTCGGTCAATGTTTTGGGTAAACGGACCCGAATTCGTGTTCCGGCGATCCTAGATGGTCCGTAGTAAAATATGGGACCTGGGCATATGCCCGGAATTGAATTCCGAGGTCCCAAGCCCGAGAAATGATTTTTTGATGAAAATTATAATACTGAAAATCTAGGGAATTAAAGCAATTGATTAATGATTGATATCATTGGTATCGGGCCTGTATTTTGGTTTCGGAGCCTGGTACATATTTAATATAATATTTAAGTTATGTCTATAAAATTTGGTGAAAAACGGAATTTATTTGACGTGATTCGGACCTTTGGTTGAGAAAATAGAAGTTTTGAAACTATCATGAAAATTTCATGCAATTTGGTGCTTAATTCATAGTTCTAGGTGTTATTTTGGCAATTTGATCACGCGAGCACGTTCGTATGATGTTATGAGACTTGTGTGCATATTTGGTTTGGAGCCCCGAGGGCTCGGGTGAGTTTCGGATAGGTTACAAATTGTTTTGGACTTAAGAAAAATAGCTGGTGTGCTTCAGCTGTGTTGCAGGCCTCAGACCTCGCAAATGCGAGTTCAGGGTTCGTATTTGCGATCACTGTTGATGTTGCATTTGTGAGTTTCTCATCACAAATGCGAAGAGAAGCTGGGCCAGCCTGTGTTCGCATTTGCGAACTTTCCTTCGCATTTGCGAAGGGAGCCTGGGAAGGGTATGATCGCAAATACGTTCTTTTACTCGCATATTTGCGAGGAACAGTGTTCGCAAATGCAACATTTTCCTCGTATTTGCAAAGGTAGCAGGATTGTGAAGGGCTTCGCATTTGCGATGGCTCCTTCGCATTTGTGAAGCTCAGGTCGCAAATGCGACATTTGCAGCTGATAACTTTGGACTTAGACGAGATTTTTCATTCATTCTCCCATTTTGCAAAACCTAAACTTCAAGAGGCGATTTTCCAAAGGCTAATTCTTCCCCAAATTATAAGTAAATAATTCTTAACTCATTTCTTTCAATCTTTTACTTCTTTTCACAAGATTTCATCCTAGAATCTAGGATTTTTCATGGTGGAATTAGGGATTTTTGGGTAGAAATTAGGAATTTCGAAATTTGGGGATTTAGACCTCAAATTGAGGTCGAATTCCAAAATCAATTATATATTTGGGATCTTGGGTGAATAGATGAATGAGTTTTGGTTCGAACCTCAAGTTTTGACCAAGCGAGCCCGGGGTCGATTTTTAACTTTTTGGGGAAAGTATTGAGAAACCTATAATTATGCATTAGAATTGATTTCTTTAGCAATATTTGATGTTATTAAATTAATTATGACTAGATACGAGTGGATTGGAGGTGTAATCGAGAGATAAAGCGGTAATTGAGCTTTGAATTGCCCGTTGGATTGAGGCAAATGTTTGGTCTAACTTTGAGTCGAAGGATTAGGGATCCTCGACTTAGTTGCTATGTGAAATTCCATGTGTGCGGCATATAGTTGTGGTGTCGAGTATCTATGCGCCGCCAAATTATTTGTTTAGCTTGTTCCTTTGCCCGTTCCCAATATATTCTCTTCTTATCCTAATTGCTACATGCTTATTGATGCTTCCATGTCTAATTGCTTCTTTTTAGATGTTGTGTTCTTTATTGAAGGTATTAATTGTTCCGTAGTTTCATTGTATTACATTATTGGATTAAGTTGGGTTATTGGTGTTTCATGATACATTTTGGTTAGTTTCGTTGTGTAGTAATAATTGATGAGATTTCATAATTGTATAAATTTTCGTTTGATTTGGTTGAGGCATAAACGTTGTAGAGGGTTTGAGCTAAATTGTGAAATACTTGATCTTATTGTGTGATTGGTAGTGACATGGTGGGATCAGGTTGCACGCTGCAACAGGAGGAATAAGGGTGAAATGTGATTGTCTGGTGGGATCGGGTTGCGCGCCGCAACAAGTTAGGATGGACAGGTGAGATCGGGTTGCACGCTGCAAAAGGAGGAATAAGGGCGATATATTGAGGAGTAATAAGGGCGGGCTGGTGGGATCGGGTTGCACGCCGCAACAAGGAGTAATAAGGGTGAATGTTCATATTGTTAGTGATTATATGGTGGGATCGGAATGCGCGCCGTATTATTTTGTTGTTTATGTATTTTTCCTCTGCTGTGATTCTATTCTGTAGCATTGTAACTCTCTTAAGGATTGGTTATAGCTGAGTACTGGCAAGACAAATGAGTTCCGTCTTTATTTTTACTGCAAATTACTGTTCGATTTCGTCCCGTATTTCCTTTTGCTTTATTATCAACTGTATGCAGGTTATATTGTAAATGCCCCGCCTTAGCCTCGTCACTACCTCGTCGAGGCTAGGCTTGGCACTTACTAGTACATGGGGTCGGTTGTACTGATACTGCACTCTACACTTTCTATGTAGATTTTGGAGCTGGTTGTGGCTGATCGAGAGGTCAGTTGCAAGCATTCATCAAGGAGACCCAAAGTAGTCCTGTAGGCGTCCGCGGCCCCTGGCGTCCCCTCCTATGTTCTGCATTCTTGTTTTTTTTTGAGATAGATGTACTTTTCTTTCAGACCATTACTTGTAGATATTCATAGAATGTTAGTGGGTTGCGACACCAGTTTCTGGGTGGTAACTGTTTCGGTTTTGTTAATAGGATAAGGATAATTAGTTAAATATGCACTTCCGCTTTTATTTCTGTTTGAATTAGCTTTTGTTAATCTTAACTATGAAAATATAAAGGAAAAAGGTGATTATAACTCTAACGTTGGCTTGCCTAGCGAGTGCAATGTTATGCGTCATTACGGTTTCGATGGTGGGAAATTCGGGTCGTGCCAGTTCGCCACTGCTCACATCCCATGGCTTCTTGTGAACCCAACATTAGCTATCTGTTTTATGTCGTGTAACAATGTCCAAGTGCAAACCGACAGATCTTAAACGACTGTGCATCTTCATTCAATTAGCTCCAAATTTGGACATTCACAGCTTGCTTGGTGTGTATTTCATTAATGATAGTGGATTGTTGGACGACTAAGCTACGTGCTGCATAGGCACCTCAATCTAAATTACCACTGGAAATCCAACTTTAGGTGGTCATTATGATCAGAAACTTATTAATTAAGCGGAGAAATGTGCTCCTAGAGGCAAATTGCAGGGAGTCAGTCTACAAACGAAGTAATTTCTGGTTCATATTTTGTATGTAGTGCTAAAGTTGTATATATTGAAGATGAATCCATAGTTGTAAACATATAATTAAGATACACGTTTTCTGAAAAAGATGTAAAGCGAACATTATATATCAGGGCAACTAAGTAACTCATAATAAACGGAAATAGTAATCTGAAAAAGAAATAGGCAGGAGCCAGGTTAAAGTATACTGAGAAAAGCCTCTTGTATAAAATTATGCACCTCTGCTGAATTGAGAACAATGTAACAGTAGATCAATTCCTCCATCTCCTTCCAGTCTTGAATGCCAACATTGTTGACGATCTCTTTTATGGATTCTCTTATATCTGACAATGGATCCATTGAGTACTTCACTGCACAAATAGTACTATCCACGAACGCCCCATGAACATCTTTAGGCAAGTTAGCAGAAAAGCTAACTCTGTTTCTCTGGCGCTGCACCATTTTTTGGCTCTTGTAATTCACCATATTGGCTAAGTTATTCCCTTAGTTATTGGCTTTGTTGGATGTGTTCTTGAAATGGTCACAATATAAAGAGGGTGCTATAAATGTTTGTATTGTTGCAAACAAGCACTTGGAGCAGGTGCTTTGAATGTGGGTATGGGAATTGAGAGTTTAGGGATAAGATCACGACACATGTACTTGAATTAGGATTTGAAGTTTATGGATTCTGAATTTGCCACCGAACCGATAGTTGTTTTTGTTAGTGAGTTTGCCAGTAATATATATATATATATATATATATATTTAATAAATTCCCTAATATAAATACAAAATCTAGTTACTAAGTTCATATGAACCCTACTTCATACTCTAGCTCCGGCCACAACTTGTTGTGGGTTGTCATGTTCTCTTGTGGACCACTGGTTGTTGAAGACAGGAAAACAAATTGAATGAAGTAGCAGCAATTACAAGCATGATGGGAGCCTAAAAACAAAAACTAGATGGAACACCATTAGTTCTCATCCAATCTTGTGAATTATTGAACATATGCATCTGGAATAGATTCAAAATTTCGATGGCTTAAGAATGTCTCAAATCCTCTTAATTGTTCTGTCCAAGTTAAGAAAAGAAGAAAATGAATTGTCGGCATGGCAATTGAATATGTGATGTATGTCAAATTCTTGAATGAGAGGATTGGATTAATTTGGATGTTAAATCTTTTGGCTTAAATCCTTTTTTGTACACTCAACAGCAAGATGCTCTTCAAATTTTGGCCCTAAATTCGTTTTGCAGTTTTAACTTGTGTATAACAATCTAACATTAACTAAATTCTTTTAGGGCCTTTAATTACAATCTTTTTTTGTTTGTACTTTCACCACCAAGATCACTTTTTAATTAGAATACATGGAAGAATTAATTAGAGATTGAAAATGACATTTTTGTTCTATTATCATGTTTGGCCAAGACACAATAGTAATCACATACAACTCATGCTGAAATCATGGATTACAATGGCCAATGGTCCACCACGAGCGCGTGTACAATTAAGCCTATAGATACGAGTAATGTTGTATCTATTCAATTCAGATAATTTATATAGTATATTGTTTCAAAGAGTTGTTAAAAATTTATACTTAAATTAAATTCGTATTCAATTGAGGCAGCTCCACTTCTCCACGTCTTCCTCTTTCCACTTTCAAATGATGCGCTAGAAACATACTAAATACGAGTAACAGGTAACGACATTAAACCAAGTTGGAAGCTAATAAATAGTCACATGAAAATGTAACAATACTAAGTATTAATATTGCAACAATAAGCAAAGAACAGAAAATAAACGGTTTACCCTTAAAAACGGATAACAATTGAATTTATACGCGATTTTAAGGATATGTGATTTAACTTGATACAAATTGAGAAAATCAGATTAGTATTGAAATTAATGATAGAAAGTGAATGCTAACCACACAAGTGAACAGTGTCAACCTTGAAGGTTGGTTACCCTCGAGTCTGAAAGTGCCTCAATTAATGTCAATTAAAATAACGGACTAGGGGTAGTTTTGACCATTTTCTGTATTTTATAATAAAATAATTAAAGAACTTCTCTCTTTTATACTCTAAATGAATTCAAAATTGTAACTTAGTATTAAATATGATGTTATTTGATTATCGATAAAATAATAAATAGGAAAAATTTATTAAAATATCAAAGTAGAAAAGGATGCACACGGTGATAGAGATAATGTAAGGATATTTATACTTAAATTACTATAAAATAACATAAGTAAATAATAATTCAAAGATACTATTGATAGATTTAGATAATTGAAGAATTGTGAACAATAGAATAAACTTTAAATATATATTTCTGGAGTATAAGAAAAATATATCTATTGTTATATTAAAAGGGGGCAGCGGATATTGATATTAATCCGAGTGGATGATGTAATAAAAAAATAAGGAACATAAAGTAATTAGACCACGCTATGCTTCTTCTAATTTCATTAGGATTTTATTATTAGGTGCATTGTTGTATTGAGATACTAGATAACAACTGAAATTTTATTAAAATAATATGATCTAATATGCTCAAATAAACCAAATTATAATTTCGCCTAATTAATAGTTTTGAATACTGCCCGTATTCCTCGGATTCCGCATATAGCGAGAACTTATTTCACCGAACAATTTTTTTTT